ATAATATATATATATATATATATACATATATATATATATATATATATATATATATATATATATATATATATATATATATATAGCGCTTCGGCTACTCTCCAGTGTATGCAAAGTGACTGTGAGATTATTATATCATGATTTGATAATAGCATTATTTCACAGGAATAGCCATATTATAATAATGGGTGGGAATTATACACGTTACTATGTCCTGGGGCTATATAGATTATATACAGTGAGCTAACATTACTGTAACAATAGGTGAAAATAGTATAACAAAATGTCGCATAATAAAATGCATAAAACCTACAGATGAAAAAAATAGCTGACCTACCCTGAGACTATTATTAATCCTGCTGATGTTGCCTGGGCAATAGGATACGTTGTTTCTACAGCTAATTCTAGTGTCAGTGGAAGTGATGCCAACAGACCAAACCCAGACAGCGACGCTAGGACGATGAGTACTGTTTCAATATCAGGAATGGTTAACACCTATATGTAGAGGAAATTCATTTGAGACGTCAGAGATTACAACAAGATTGCACAGTAATATTAACACTTCATAGTATTGTGATTATCACACTATCTGTATCATACCCAAATCGCTTTTTTTCTTACCCCTCCGAAGACAACAAGTGCTGTTGTACCAATACCAATGGCGATGATAATAAGTTCTTGGTATAATTTGGTTCTATCTAAAATAAGGCTGAACGTAATCATTCCAATTAATCCAACACCGATGATTAATGCTCCACAGATACCTGAAAACGTCTGAAACATATTTTATAATCAAATAGCTGAATTATTTAAAAATACATTATTCAAATAAATTCAAATAACACAATTTAAGAGTGAAATGTGAAAGTCGAAAATAAGCCATCGAAACACATGGTAGCTCTGAGGGTAGGTTAGTGTCCGTGCAGTCGTTAATCACAAGTTATCTTAAACATTATTTCCATACAAACGTGGTCAATTGGTACAAGAACCTTCATCGTCTATCTTAGTTACATACATCGATGCATTCTTAGCTTAATATAATGTCTGTAATTTATACACGAGCTTGGAGACCATTAATATACTATATATGTGCTAACTTTCAATGTCAATTTCCCCGGCGTACTATCGCGATAAACACGGGTACAAATAGTTGATAAACAAGATCTGCAATGCTGATGTGTGCACGTCCGGAAAACAATGTATAACAATAACCACAAAGATTGCCAAGTTAAATTTGAATAATTTTGTGAACACTTACCGCTGTATATCCATTGGGACACAGTATTTGTTCTAACAATAAAGTAGTCGCATTGAATATACCAATATCACATCCCACGCACAATAGTAACAACCAATATGCTTTAATTTGTAATATCTAATGATATATATACACAAATTGCAATATTACACTGATTCTGATTACTTGACCAAATACATTTATTGACCCATCACTAGGTTTGAATAATAATTAATTTGCACGATTATGTGGAATTATATCTATCGAAATAACACTGGCGGTCTGGCCGGGCATTTTGTGGTTATTATGGTTCATATTAAACAATCAATAAATGAATCTTTATGTTTTGCATTTGTTATAGACATCTCGTTGAATATAGGTCCAAATACGGTACGACTAGTTTTACTTGGAGACAAATTAAAAAAGCGAAACTGCTACAATTTAATTATATATAATTGTTCACACTATGTTCATAGAATACAGGTAGTAAGTTGTGATAAATTTGTTTTCTTGAATGACATTTGATGTTATTGATCTACACCGTGCTACGCACCTTTTTCAGACCTGGCCAAAATGGTTCGTCTTGCTGCTGTGCAGCTGCTGAAGGCGGTGATGGTGGTATACTGCTACACAAACCGAATGTTGCAAGGACTGTCCCGATAGCTGCAGGAACGCAATACACTATAAGCTGAAAATGCAAACTAATTACATTAATATCAATTTTATTGTTTGATAGAATGCGACTAAAAGTTGTATGGAATGTACGAAGTGGTGTATCTTGAACCTCGAATTATATGTGGACATTAAATGTAAATTTACGTGTTTGAAGACAAATTATACGACTAAAAGGTATATGAACTTCTCGATCATAATAAGTAGACTTCGTTATGTATTGCATTATATTATTGTGAAGTGCCAGTCATTTCGCTGTATACAAACAATGTTTTACCTTATACTCGATCTCAACATGACCATCTAGTTCTATCGGATTTGGCCATATATACAATTAGACCATTATGAAATACCTGTTCACACTACATGTATAATATAAGCAGCAAAACTCCCAATGGAAGCAATTTGCTCACGAACGTCAGAAAATGAAATAAAAACTCACCAATAACTGTATACTGTGTATGTCAGTATGTTTTAACAACCTGGGAGATATGAGGCTGGCAAACAAATATCCACCGGGAAACGACGCCACCATCGTTGCAAACGTTCTGTGGTTTTTAGGGAACCACTTATTAGAGACTTTGGACGGGCATGAGGTGAATACCGGATATGCCGTAGCTGCGACCACTTGACCAGCCATTGCCACTGGAAATGTATACGAGGAACTGACAAAATCCATAGTACTGAGTACTCTAATGATGCTACCAATAGTATTCAACCAGGATGCCAGAATTAACTTGCAAATAAGCACAAATAACCTCCATGTGGTCAATATGAATGCCCAAAGGGTGAATTCCTTGATAAAACTTCACATTGACAGAAATATATTACATGTACATACATATTCATGAGCCCATACGCCATAGAGTATTACGTCACATATGTGTGGCAATATATGGCAATATTATCAATCAGTTAATGAACTGCAAGTTTGCGGAGGGTCATGGTTATTTTGAAGTTCAAATTCTATAATATAATTGAATATTCGTGTTGCTCAATATGAAATATAATTTGTTAAAATACTAAACTAATTATCACATGTGCACATATCTTGTGTAGCATTATACTAGTAAACATCCATTGTATAACGAGTCGGCAAGGGATATTTTCGTAAGCTGTAATCAATTGTTTTTATTTTCGTAATAATGTAAATAAATAATAATTGTAAATTCGTAGACATGGGCAAGGTGTAACATGTAATCAGCTATTTTATTCGTCCGTAATTTGTCACACACAAAGTTCTTATATTTTGTAAGCGTAGAAAGCATTTTTTACATTAAATGTCGTAATTTGTACGCAATTTCCAATTTTGGTTCTTAAACACAAATTATAAAATATATTATAAAAGTGTAAAATGTAATTAGGAATTTGCTTAATCTGTAAAGTGTAAAAACTTATTATAATTATTTAAAAAAACAAATATAGAAAATTAACAAGTTCACAAGATATTGATTCATCAAACAGGGTTTTACCGATAGTCTAATGCTGAAGGTATCCAGGAGCCACGTTGCCACAAACCCCATTGGAATAGATAGAATTAAATATATCAGTGAAAACAGATTAATACTCGATGGATTGACAGAATACACTTCAGCCGCCTCGGTTGCCACGGGACTGAACGATAACCAGATCTGAAATACAACATAAATGGATGCTATATATGTGCCGTAAATTAATAAATTTTTGTTATATTAAAGTACTTGTCTCAAACATGTTTTATGCAATTTTTATTTACGTCAAAAGCATCGTCTTACCCAAAAACGTTTGCCATCCGGTGATATACGTACATTGCCTATTCTTAAATCGCAACGTCTTTTTGCATCGTGTATTGTTCGATATTCTCGTGTGAATTACCGAGGTCAAATGGTGACACAGAGGTTCAAAGTGCACCTCACTGACCACAGTCTGACGAACCACAAAGCTCTCGCTAACAGTGTGTATAACATACACGAATACAGAAGTTATAATCTTACCATTTGTGCAGACGTAGCATGCAACGTAACCAACAATAGAACAAACCATCGTCGCTTGTACAATTTGAACTCTTCTACGTTGACAGTGTTAACTACGGGAACCTGCACCGACGATAACTGACCATCATCGTTGTTGCGCTGTATCTCTCGGTATTGAATGTTGGTCTTCTCCTCCTTGTAGAGCTGTTCACTTTCAGAACCACTATCCATGCCCGAGTTGACACAAAAGCAAGATCAATGTATGGTCCCGTGTTGCTGTATAAATGAATGTTGCCGTCCCATGAAAGTCACGTGCTAAGGCGTGTCACCTGACTGCTGTCCGACGACTGTCAATGGTCGGTGTGACATCTATTTAAAGAAATACATTGATATTTTGTACTAATTTAACACTTTTTGTTATCAGTATGCTATCACCTAATGTAAAATTGCCATTGTGATTTGGAACCACTTGTATTTAGTGATTATACGAGTTGCAATATAAATCTACTTCCAACATGTAGTATTATTTAATATGGTTTATTTTTAATTCTCATTTCAGCTTTGAAATCTCAACTTTACAATTTTTCGAACGTAATTGTATTATTTTATGTAGAATAGTTTCAGAACATAAAAATTATATTTATTAAAATAGATACGTTCAACCATAACACACCCAAATAACAAATTTGTGTATTTTGTACTTTATCAAAGTATGACTTTGTAGACAGCAAACGAATAACTGCTCGTAGAGCAAAATGTACAATTGACATTTGCAGAAATTGGTACTAGATAAGCAAACCATGAGCATAATAATAAGCTATTCAACATACTAATAAGCTATTCAGCATATTAATAAGCTATTCAGCATAATAATAAGCTATTCAGCCTAATAATAAGCTATTCAGCATACTAATAAGCTATTTAGCATAATAATAAGCTATTCAGCATAATAATCAGCTATTCAGCATAATAATAAGCTATTCAGCATACTAATAAGCTATTTAGCATACTAATAAGCTATTCAGTATACTAATCAGCTATTCGGCATAATAATAAGCTATTCAGCATACTAATAAGCTATTCAGCATACTAATAAGCTATTCAGCATACTAATAAGCTATTTAGCATACTAATAAGCTATTTAGCATACTAATAAGCTATTTAGCATACTAATAAGCTATTCAGCATAATAACAAGCTATTCAGCATATTAATAAGCTATTCAGCATATTAATCAGCTATTTAGCATAATAATCAGCTATTCAGCATAATAACAAGCTATTCAGCATATTAATAAGCTATTCAGCATAATAATAAGCTATTTAGCATACTAATAAGCTATTCAGCATAATAATAAGCTATTTAGCATACTAATAAGCTATTTAGCATACTAATAAGCTATTCAGCATAATAACAAGCTATTCAGCATATTAACAAGCTATTCAGCATATTAATCAGCTATTTAGCATAATAATCAGCTATTCAGCATAATAACAAGCTATTCAGCATATTAATAAGCTATTCCAGCATAATAATAAGCTATTTAG